AAGAGCTAGTTTCAGGGAACACTGATTTAAGATCTTTTCATTATAAAAAGAAAAAAATTAAGAAATTATTTGTCATTATAAACTGTAAACTTCAATCAATACCTGTATTAGAAAGCATGAAATATAAGGCTTTACTCCAATGCCCAATATTTGTAATAATTTAGAAAATGAGTATTGGAGAAAAGATGTAATTGGATCCCATGTGGTCAAATGTAACATAGTAGGCCATTTCTAAAATGATTTAGTTCACAATATGATTAAATTCTAGCCAGCACAACATACTCAGTAGATCACTATAAAAGGAAACAATGGGATATACTTGATTAATTCTTGTAGAACAGCTACAGGTTTGAACATGTATACGCTAATTTCAATGTAAATATTAACATCTCTATAAAACTGTACCTCTCACAAAGGGTAAAATCAAACAGCCAGGGCCAGCGAGTTTGCAGGTAACAGAACACCTTTTTGGTCATTTGTTTTACTTATGTTTTAGGCGCTTACATATCACATATGCTATCCAACAGCAGCAGAACCCTGTAAACTAAAGCAAAACCCTGCTGCTATTTTTAACATGTTAAATTTTCCTAATAACTGGATTGAAAGAAGATAAAAATGACACCACTTCTAAGCACAGCAAAGTCTAAGGCACCCTAATTTATTGCCTAAAAGGCGCACCTTACATACTCATTCATCTCAAGATGGCTCTAATCACCAAGCTTCAGAGAATATTTAGAAAGACCCCAACTGCTTGCATCCCCAACATTTTTTTTTAAATGGCTGTGCTCTACCTTCCTTCTTTGGTCAAGAAGAGAAAAAAGGGAAAGAGTAAAGGAAAAAGAGATTTCTCTGTGGAGAGGTATGGCCTTGGAGTCCGAGCTTTTGAGATGTGTTAGTGATCTTGGATCGATGCCTTTTTATTGTCTTTCAGGAATACATTTGAGCAATGGAATGGCTTGCGATTGTCCAGCCAACCAGCCATATCAGATTTATCAGAAAGAAAGAATGAAAACTGGCTCAGAGGACTCCTGCAGTGGCTGAGTGGCAGGTTGCTGGGAAAACACACACACACACACAAAGAATATGCTTAGTGGTGGAGGGGAAAATATATACTCTCATGTATAAACTCAATAAACAATAAGATGTAAAGAAAAAGAATCTATAGTAATAGAAAGGGTGAATGCATAAGACAGATGATAAATAGCACTTCTATTTAAAAACCAAAGGGATGAAAGCTCATGAATACTAAATATTTGAATCCACTTTAAGGAGGAAATACAATTTTACCTCAAATAAATGCAAAGTCTAAAACTCAGCCATTGCAAACTTACTGCATTCAGGTTAGAGTAGAAAATCATTAAATTTTCCATGAAGCACATGCCCTGGTAAACATTCTAATGTAATTTCTTAATTAAGACACATTTCCAGTGACTAAATGAAAAATATAAAAAGCAGTACGTGCCTTGATTTTCAAAAAATTGACTTTCGGTGTACTCATGACTAAAATAAATAAAAGTGGTTTAATTTGTGAAGAAAATCAGAAAACAGGAATCATGACAGAACCAAGAGTCTTTCAATTTTATCACAATGGTCCACATTAGAGTGTTTCCAAAGTGATGCACAGTTAACAGTGATAGGTATAAATTTATTAAGAAGCACTCTCAAGAAAAAAATGTAAAAAGACCCCTTTTGCATATATAAGATGTTCAAAATTAAAAGAAAAAAAGGGAAACAGTGCACCCATGGGTGTGTTTACAGCAAACACAGGTAGGAAAAAGAACTGATGAGGGGTTTATTCTGAAAATATATTTAACATCTTTCCCATCATTTACCTAAATGTATTAACCTTTTTCTTCTCAAAGGCAAAACAACCCTTAAGACTGGAGACACATCTGAAATATGTAGGAAAATGCATGTTCTTTTATAGAATGAAAGCAGGACTAAGTCACTTGCAAATAAGGAATGGGAACTTAACTTGCTCACCCTGTATCTGTTAAGGTGAATAAGACTATACTTTTCATACCACATGTACTTCATTTCAATACAAAGGTGAAAGTGATTATTTTTTCAATCATACCAGGAAGACAGAAATTTTGGAATCATTCCTTTTAGTGGTAAGGGCTTTATAGCAGACATTGAAAGGGCCCTTGACTATAGTATTTCTTGATAAAATGAATCACTAGAAATGAGGCAAAGTCCTTCTGAATCTCACACACACACACACACACACACACACACACACACACACACACACATCGCTTTCTCTAGAGCTAAAGAACAAGAACAGATCCTGCTCAGTTACAATTATTTTCAGAAATATCTTAACTCCGTTCAAGAGAATTGTCGTGCCCCTCCCCATATTTTTATTCTATTCACATAGAGCAGTAAATAAGGTGCATTCCTTCTGCTTCTTAAGAAATTAGCATTTCAAAAATATGCCGCTTTCCCCTGAACTCCAAGCGTGTCTAATAATGCGAGAAGCAGATTGTCTTCCCTCGTTTCCTTAATTTGTTTCATCTAAAAGCAATTCACTCAACATCTTGTCGCCCTCTGGCAGCTTAGTTTACTTATCCGCACTTAATTTCTCATTTGGACCAAAACAAACTCCTCCAAACTGCTACTGACTGCTAACCACGAGAGTGGAGACGCAATATGTATTTACTTGGGAACATGCAGCCACACATACACAGCCACAAACACACAGATCTTCACTCACATCCCAGACAGTTACTTGGTTTTATAAAAGCACTACATTAAAACCGGCTGAACTTTCCCTGCCAGGTGCGGAAGGGTGAGGGTAGGGTAGGATGAAAAAAGAAGTCCCCAGGGGCATTTACAGTTTCCAGTGGGTCACCTTAGCTTGCGTGTTGCGATTATACCAGGGATGCACCCGACAGCTTTTCTTTGTGCGGCCCTTTTATCTAGATCACTGTTTTGAACAAGTGAGGCTCGCCTTTGTGTCCCCAGAATTTCAAGTACAGAGTCACACACGGAACAACAATGGCACGCTAATCCTCGCGTTCTAAATGGGCTCACTTGTGGGTCTGACAATTCGCGGGGGGGGGGTGGCGGGGGGGGGGTGGCGGGAAGCGAGAAGAGACCAGCTGCAGAACTAATTTGGATTACATTCCTTGCAGAAATTCTGAAAAGGGCTTTTCGGCATAGCTCAACCCCAAGCCACACAGTTAATACCAAATTGCTGCGGACTCGGAGCCTGGTCCTCCAGCGGCTGAAGCTGAACCAGACAGCCCCCAGTAGGTCGCCTCCTAGAAATTCCTCTCGGCTAAGCCTGCTCGTCTGTCGCAACTGCTTTTGAATGGGTCAATGTGTATAATCAACCCATTGAAGGAAAATATGAAGGGACTCGGAGTGGGGAGGGAGATAAAAAGGGATGTATCTAAGAGGCCGCTTGGAATCTCAAGTCCGTGTTGGTGTAATTCCGGAGGTGGCTGGAGCGCAGAACCTGGTATGCATGAAGAATTTCAGAGTAACTGGGAGGGTGCAAACGACCAGTACAAACGGCGCACATTGTGCAATGCGAAGGTCATTTTGAAAGGCTCTATGATTGTAACTTGTTATTTACTAGTCAAGTCTAGGAGGGGGAGGCGACGGCGGCTGGGGCGGAGCGGGAAAACTACAGCGCACTGTTTTCTTGGTGAGGTCAGAAGGACACCCTCCCCGGGCCTAAAGCTCTCCGCATCGCCACTCCCGGGGGCTTTATCTCCTGTGGCTGCCTCCCACGCTCCCGGGAGCAGCCCCGGATCGTTCCGGAAATCTCTCCCGCTCCCCCAAAGGGCTCCCTTCGCCGTGTCAAACACCGATTCTCTGCGGTCCCTTCCTGTCCCACTTTCATCCCCAGGAAACTCAAGTGTCAAACTTTGAGCTCCCTGGCAATGCAGGTGCTGCCATTAGCCCAGCCCACCCGGCGCACCAGCCCCACCGCGCTGCCTCCCGGGGGTCGCTTAGCCTTTGGCCTGTCCAGGTAGCTGGGCTCCAGCTCTCTGGAAAACAGTGGCCGCGCACCCAGCACAGCCGCGCCCGCCTCCGGTTCAATCAATTCGCGCGACTGGTCGGCTCGCCAGCCGCACTGGGCAGTAAACAGAGAAGTTGGAGGGATTCCGGCCAATAGCAAGTTTAACTACAGGACGAACTCTTCCTGGAGCCAAACCCAGCAACCGACGGGAAGGCCGGGCTCCCGGCTCAAGTCTGTCAACCTCTCTCTCTCTCTCTCTCTCTCTCTCTCTCTCTTTTTTAAAGAGGTCAGGCAGGCAGGCAAGCTCCCTTCAAGTCAATTGCTCGAGAGCTCTGGGACTACCGCCCAGGAGGCCCGGAGTTCCCGGCCCCTGGGCCGCGGCGCGCCTGTCAGCAGCCGCAGCAGCCCAGGCTGGGCTCTAGTCGGGTGTGACCCGGCAAGGCTCGGGCGACTGAAGGCGCAGTGGCCGCCGGCAGCACACACAGGTGCAAAGCGGGTTCTCGAAGCTGCGCTCTACACCGCGGTCCCGCACTGAAGGGCCCAGCTGGCACCGTCCCGGGACCCCAGCCCTTCCACGTCCGGGGCGGTGCGCGCTTTTCCCAGGCTTCTTCCCTCCGGGACCAGGGGACCAGACCGAGAGAGGAGGGTCTCCTCTGACTCGGGGTTTGGGTCTCCCTTGTCCCTCACAACACGCGCGACAATAAGGGATCCCGCACAGGCTCACAGAGAACGCGTGAGAATGTAAAAAAAAAGGGGGGGGGGTAAGGAGAATGGAAAAGGAGATAGGGATGCAGGGTGCTGTTTTTTTTCCACGACAAATAAAACGCATGCACACACTGGGGATAAGTTTGGGGACAGAATGAGAGGTGACCAAGAGCCCAAGGAAGAGGACCCGGTGGATTGATCCCTCCTCTCCTGAGCGCCAGCGGCTGTCAGGTTGGGCAAAGGGGGCAAGGGAGTCACCCGTGCTGCCAAGCCGCCCGCAGCAGGTTCAACAACTGGAGCGCGAGAAGGAACCACGACCCACCTGACTGAGAAGCGCTGGGCTGGACGGTCCCCGCCGCCACCAGAAGGCTCACCCAGATGCACAGTCCTGTCGCCAGCTTCATTTTTTGGAAGTCTCAGATCCCGTGCTGACAGTTACATGTCCAAATGGCATATCCCCTTTCGGGCACGCAGAAGAGATCCGTCAGCCAGGCGCGCGTGGGGGGCGCGAGGGGGACTGGCGCGTCGCGCGCGCGGTGCACCGACTCCGAGCGCGGGCGACGGAGTCCACGGTCGCGGGACCAGGTCTGGGGACCCGAGGAGGGGGACACTGTGCGCGTGAGTGCGCGCGCGTGTGTGCGCGTGTGAAAGGGTGTCCGAGTGTGTGAGCGTGGAGCTCCTGGTCGGACTGTGCAGCTATTTCACTGTGTGATCGTTCTCTCTCTCTCCTTCCCCGCTCACTTTCTCTCTTTCTCACTGGCTGGGCAACAATAAAAAGAAAGGGAGAAAAAAGGTTTCCAAAAAAAAGTTGATTGCAAAGGGGCGGTAGGTTTCCGGCCTCTCGCCCGGGCCGGGCTCTGATCGGCTCCCTTTATAGTTTCCTAGCACCTCCAGTCCAAATTGGGAAGAAAGTGGGGAGGGGGAAGCTTCTTGCTTCTTCTCCCCCTATCCAGTCCTTTTTCCTGTCAGCTTTCCTCACACTTGTCCGGCGGCTGCGGTAATTAAAGCTCCAAGCGTCATTTCCAACGCTCCGCAGTCTCCAGCTGCAGCCCCACGGAGAAATTAATAAGACACCCAGAGGAGAAGAAAAAAAAAAAAACGGTGGAGGGGGGGCGGATAAAACAACCCTCCACGCAACCAGCCTGGCTCTGTTCAGCCGCGCAAACCCCGCCCCTGCTACGACCCACAAGCCACGCCTTTAATCCCCGCTCCCTCCCCCAAAGGAAAATCTCATTGGTTCAGCCTCTCTCCAAAATCGTCGGCCCCAGGAGTTGGGAAAACACCTGTCAGGGAGCACGAGCTGGATTTAAAGGGCTCACCCCAGGCCACGCACTGAATGAAGCAGAGGCCCGGAATAGCTGGCCCACGAAGTGCCAGACCACTGGAGGGATGCTTACAGAAAGGATTATACATATAATGGTGAATTTCATATATGGATTTTGTATGTATATATATATGAAATTCACCATTTTTCCATTGGCCCACGGTGCTCACCCAAAGACTAGACTTTCCCTAGAAACATGAGAAAATAAAACGTTACTTCAGGCATAAAGCCCCTATTCTTCTCTGTACCGCCTCACGCTCCACACTCTGAAGTGAGTTTAAAAGCTGGTTCAGTATCGGACAGCCTCTGCAGATTAGGTAGCCCCGGGGACACAACCTCCTGTCTTCCCACTCTCCCCCGATTCCCATGCTCCCAAACTGACCTGCACTGAGTCAAACTACGATTCAACATATGGAGAACTACATCCTTTGATTTTTAGTTTTATGGATCTTTTCGGTTTTTCCTTGGACTCTAGGACAACTTGCTTTGGGGTTCATTCCCATTAAACAGATTCTAATTGAAAGTTACCAATTCGATCATAAAGGGCCAGAAATTGTCCCAGGCCTGAGCTGCTCAGGTGAAAGAATTTAAGATGCCCATGTCAGGATAGAACCAGTCTCAAACGACCAGGTGAATGGCCCCAGCTTTAGGCCTCCTCCATGTTCTCACTGTGCAAGTTCACCCTGGTCAATCCCCAGGTCATTGCTAGCTATAGGAATTCCTGGGCTTTTCTTGGTCTAACACATGCTGGGATTGAGTCATATCACAGCACATACCACTTGCCTTTTGCCGCTGTGAAACTGTACCCTGGGCAGGGGCCAGAATCTCAGGCAGTAGTAGGTTATTGGTTTGCTGTTTGCACAAGCATTCTACCTGTGAATTTCCCCCTTTTTCAGTTTCTCCAAAAGCATCAAATGCATAAATAAAATGTATCAGAGGAACTTAAAAATCAAGTCACCCTGCCTCCTCACTCAACATTTAAGACCTTCCTACTCCTCCCCCACATCTTTTATCTATAGTCTGGTCCCCACAGAATTTCCCTGGAGCTGAGAACAGAAAGAAACAGCAGCCTCATCCCAGAAGCCTGAAGCCTTCCCTTTCTTAGGCCCCTGGCAAGTAGCAGGCACAGACAGGAGGCCAAACAAGCGGAGCTTACTGTTTTACACAGACGCAGCCTCGGGCCTGGAGAAACTAAGCCTACAGCAGACCACAGTGACTAAATGATGGTACTGACTGCAGCAGAACTATGCACACTGCTCTTTGGGATTATCTTTGTTTTCTATTTTTATCACCCCCCACACCTCATTTTCTTTCATTCAGTTTCCTCTCAGTCCCCTTTCCTAAATCACCTTCTGCTTCTTATGATGTCTCTGAGATACCTCTTTTTCATGAAAGCTACTTCTTAAATTTCCACTGTGTCCCCAGAGTAGTTTAAGGGATTAAAACAAAACAAACAAACAAACAACAACAACAACAAAAAAACCAACTTCTTGTTATTGGAAAAGTCTAAGTTTCTGAGTTTTAAAAAAAGAAATCTTTATGATAATAATTACATTGTAAAGAGTGAAGAAATAGATGGTGCACAATATTTGATGGTTTTTTCTACTTGTGTCAATTGTGATAGTTTTTGCTCCCTCATCAATTTTATAGCTCTTCTGTAGCAGGAACTCTCCTACATATCTTGGTCACACCCATGCATCTAAAATAATTTTTGGCAAAAGAGGGATTTCAATTAATATCCATTGGTTATTAAAAAAAACTTAGTCTATGTTTTTTCAGATGCTAAACAGCTCATTCTAGGTATCCTCCAATTAAGTTAGTTGACACATCCATGATTTTCCTCTAATTCTCAATTTCTTCGGCCTTCATCCCATTTCCCTGGTTCTAACTGTTGAAACAATGATTGATCCTGGCCAGACTTGGGCACCTGACCAGCACCCTATAAAATAAATTGGTGTGAGAGCTCTACCCCCAAGAAAACATCCTATATTCTATGGTGACTGGTCTACCCAATCAGAGTCTAGCTTGAATGCTTTGAATAGGAGACCCTAGAGACCTAGGAAGTTGGTACCCTGTGTGGGGAAATGAGAGGAGTGGGAACATAGAAGCAATGAGCTAGAGTCAAGATTTAATGTTTTATGTGTCTGCTCTCACTTGCTTCCCATTTCAACTGAGTCATTGTAAGAAAGGAACATGGAAGAGAGGACCTTGGCTACTTGGTGTGGAAAGGACATGCTAACTGGATTGCTAGAGGTTTTCTGAAATTGATTTATTTACTTTCCTATGTATCCTTATCCATCAGGATACATCAGTTGAATTAACTAGAATATGTTGCTGTTATTTGCAACCTGGAAAAAAACACATCTTAGTAACCAACTTGTGATTTGGCAAACCGCAAGGGAATACCTAGAAATGTCTGCTCAGTACTCTTTTCTAGGAACTGCCTTCCCCTCAGTCCGGCACGTGTTTAACTTAGATCTGCCCCCATGATACAATGAGCCCCACACCCCCAACCCTGAGGCTCTTCTCTGGCAATTTTGTGCTCGGGAAGGAAAGAGTTAATATTGTCATTCACTGGTAGCTTTTGAGATATAAAGGTCTCCAGCTGGTCTATCTGTTTCCTTTTATGAAGAGATGGCCAGGATACAATGAAAAGGAAAGAAGCTGCCATTTTAAAGCACCAAAAGCCCAGATAGGTCTCAAGAACATTCAAATGCCCATCACAGTAAATGAGTGGATCAAAAAACTGTGGTACGTTTATACAATGGAATACTAGGGAGCAGGAAGAAAGAAGCAGCTCCTACCCTTTGAGACAGCATGGATGGATCTGGAGAGCATGATGCTAAGTGAAATAAGCCAGGTGGTGAAAGACAAATACCATATGATCTCACCTATAAGTGGAACCTAATCAACAAAACAAACAAGCAGGCAAAATATAACCAGAGACATTGAAATAAAGAACAAACTGACAAACTGAAGGGGAAGGGGGAGGGGATAATGGGGGACAAGGGGAAGGGTCATCAAGGAACAAGTATAAAGGACACACAGGCAAAGCCAAAGGGGGGTAGGATCAAGGGTGGGAGGTAAGGATGGGTGGGGTAGAGAGGAGTAGTGGAGGAAAAATGGAGACAGCTCTACTTGAACAATTTAAAAAATTAATTTTGCCCAAAGGGAGGGAAAAAAAAGAAAGCTCCTTGTATAATCTCCTCTTGTGACTTAGTTGTTCAAACACCTTTTTTCCTTACACTAGTTCAATTTTTGTTTTTGTTACCTGAAACCAGAATAGCATGAATTGGTCAAAGAATTCCTCCAACTTGAGTGAGATCACAGAGGCCATAATGCCCATTGAGGGAGCTATCTTGGTATGAACCATAATCTTTACTTTCCCTTCCCAGTGTTTCATGATTTCCCACGGCTGAAGCCATAACCCCAGCATAGAAATTCCTGCAGCCTCTGCTGCTTCTCAATATCCCCTTCTTCACTTCATTTCTTCCATTAGTAATACAGTTCAAGGAGAGTCTTGACATCATGAATGCCAATGTTTCTGGTGCGAGAAAAGAATATATTGATCTCTCTCGGTTCAATGTTGAATTAGATACATTGTCCCAGTCTTATGGTTCACTCCAATCTTCAGCTTATTCCTAAATCTTCCCTAAAGATAAGATTAGAGCTCTCTGCTTCAGACATTTTGCTATTGGCCATGAATATAAATTTGGGGTGAAAATCAACTAAGAAAAAAAACAAGATGCTCTGATAATTGAATTATCAATTATCTTGAACATTTAAACATACAGGATTTTCATTTCCCTCCCATCATCATCTTTCCCATCATCTAAGTTATCTTGTGATCACAAAAAGCTCACCTCATACCTGTGAGCCCACTGCCTCATCTTTAAAGGAAGAGACTGTTATGTCCCAAATCTAAGGCTTTATGAATCTATGGTTTACTAATCACCTACTATGTGCAAGTCATAATCTTCATAGACTTCAATTGTTTCTTATAGTTTTTCCTCTTTTTCCCCATTTAACTATACACACAGCTCTTCTTACGGGACACCAACACAGCCACACTTAGAATGCCTTAGGGAAATACAAAATAAGCTCACTACCATATTACTGTGAAGGTCTCAAGACTTTGCATCTTTACTATTCTATCGGCTAAGAAAAAATTTTCATAAATGCAAATTGGGTTCACTATTATGATGATCAAGTAAATGAGAGATATTTGATTGATCATCATGATAATGGTGGTGGCTTTTGTTTGGCTGGCTTTTGTTAATTAACAAGTACTAGGAATAACATCTTTGCTCTTAACCCTCAGAGTTGTGACATTCTCATATTTTGGCAGTGTTCAATATTTCAAAGATAAAAAAATTAAAAGTTCAAGCATTTTTAAAAATGCATGAATATACATTAAGTAAAGAAATATTTTTATTGCCTTAGTTGACTTAATATCCAAAGAGAATGACTTCACTTTTGGTTAATAAATGTTTTCTTTCTGTGTGCATGAGTAAGCCTTAATTTTTAAACTGTTAAGGAGGAGTGATTGAACATAAATAAATCAAATCTGTGTCACTTTTATGTCTAGTCATCAGTGTCTGTCCAAGTTCTTACATTTTTGGTTTGTGGTTCTAACTGCAAACTAATTTCAGCTCTGTGAACAGAGTTTTCTTTTCCAAAGTTATGCAAAAATAATTTTCCTAGTAAAACCTTTTCCTGTTGTCTATCTGCTTCATATATTTCCTTAATCTAAGTTCTCAGACCCCAGATAGCCTCTG